CCCCTGGGGCACATCACAGCTTGCATTCTCAGCTCTGGGACACTAGATGAGGTGTGAGGAAAGCTCAGGAGATGCCCAAATGTTCATCATTGTACTATCTGGGTATGCTGTTCATAATCAGCATCCAGATACTCTCAAAGCGTTCTATCCTGGGGGTGTGTGGGAGCATATGGGATTTAGATCAGACAGATCTTGTAGGGAGAAGAGGTAGAAAATTTTCAGCTTCAGAGTTCTTTGCAGATGAGCTATTCCATGGGGTCCTGTTGGTGGGTTAGAGGCTATGACCCCCATAACCATTTTGGAGATGTGCATGGTTTGAAAAGAGGAGAAACCATGGGATGTGCTGTTAGCACTGGGCTGCAGGACTCGGCTTGCACTCAGCTCTGAGCAGATCGCGTGCTTGCGCCTGCTGGGACCTTTCGTTACTGTGCTTCGTTTCAGAATTTTGCCCAGTCATTAAACCCAGCCGCTGCTCCTTTAGTCTCTCCTGGGGGAGCAGACGTCCCTGTAACTGAGCCACAGCAGCAGGCCAGTTGCTGCAAGCAGTCACATGCTCCTGCTCCCAAATGCTTAACTATAGATAAGCAGAGACAAATAGATGTTTAATGCACCCACGGCTCCCTTACAGACCTCTGGGAAAGCAAGTCACAAGGAGCAGGGAGATCCTGCTGCTGACATCTGTGCCATTGTCCTCTCCAAGAAGGACTGGGGATGCTGCCATGTGTGGTACATTCGTGTGTGCCTTGGGTGTGCAGAAGCCGGAGCAGAGCCTGGCAGGGAAAAATCATCTTATTTTGCCTGTTCACAAAAGGAGAATTCCCAGAGAATTCCCTCCCACCAGTTTCTGTGGGTGTCTGGAGGAGAGGGGCAAGAGTAGATGGGGCCTGTGTTTGGCCATGCTGGCTTGTGCCTGCTGAGATGAGAGAATCCACAAGCAGAGCGCACCACGGATGTTCACTCATTTCCGATGACAAGCCTAAAAGCAGAGGGAGGATTTCTGCATCCACTGCTCCTGTACCGCTCTAATGCAGAGGAATATGTGGTTCTGGAGAGGGCTCTGCAAAGACTTAAAATGGGGAGACCCAGCCACAAGCTAAAGATGATGGCTTTGAACTTCTTTCTCACCCAGAGAGATGGTCAGTCATCAGCTGTCTCCACTGACCGGCTGCGAGTCCTGTTTCCAGCCAGATTTCTGGTGCTGGTGAGGGGATTTAACACCTTGACGGGGAGCACGAGGCTACAACAGTATGAGGCACTTCTTTCAGTAACGTCTTTGCAATGGTTCCTGCCATCTCCCTGAGGTTAGATGGCACTTTGGGGTTTCCTTCTGAGGAATATCAGACCTGTGGGAAAGGTCCAACCTCACATGTCCTGTATAAAATAAAGAGGGATATATGTGGTCAGACCTATCCCACAGGCCCTGTATTCTTACTCAAGTGCAGAGACCTTGATATGCCATCTGATCTTCATCCCGCCGATTTCATCCCCTTCATTGCTGCTATCTGCATCAGCATCTCCATCAGCCACCTCTCTCGTCTTTCGAATACCGGCATGCTCTCATCTCATCCATGAGGAGCTGGAGGCCTGAGGATGAGCGCACCTTGCTACCAGGACCCTCACCAGCAAGGAACAGTGCTGTGCTAGCACACGGGTGGCAGGAGACAGTTGCTGTTTTGGTGGGCAATCACAGTCCTTGAGGGGAAGCCCAGGGCAAGGCCCTGCTTTGGTACAGGCTAAGCACAAAGTCCCACCTTTTGTGTTTTTCTGTAGGGCTGCATTTGTCGCATTGACAGCCAGCAACTGGGATTTCTGGGAAGCGTTTGCAGCACTTAGTGAGAGGAATACAGCATCTTTCAAATTAAGAACATCCTGTGGCGGTTTTGGGTCAAATGAGCTGTCAAGCCAAAGCAAATGTGCAAAACAGCTTGTATTGTTCCTGCAGCACAAATATCGACGGGCCACTGGGAAACGATCTTCTGCAAACATTGTGCTTATTGCTGTAAGGCCAGAGAATAATGATTCCTCTCAGGTTTTTCTGCACTCAGAAGGTTATTTATGAATCCCTTGCGTAGAAGGACATATGGGCTGAAGAGAGCAACCGAGCATCTGTGGTCTTGCACTCCAGGCATTTGTTATGTGAGTGTAACCGGGAAAAGGTGTGTATATCTGTGGCCGTGTATCCAACTTGGGAGCTCATGAAGGCCAGTGACCATCTGTATGGGGTTATATAGGTGTGTCTTAGTCAAAGAAGCTGGGCTTGACCCAGGCGATGGGCTCAGTGTAGCTAAGCCTGGTTGGAAAGCGTTTCCCTTTGGTAGCTGTGTTCTGTGGGTGTTGCCGCATTCCCACTTCATTTTCCCTTGGAAGCAGGCCTTTTGTGCTTGAGGATCTAGGGGACTTCGGAGTTGGTGTGCGGAGGAAGCCTGTGGGTTTTTAGGTTTTTGCTCTTTGTGCTGTAATCAGAGTTGAGCAAAAGAATCTGTGACTCTTTGACTACAATCTTGGATAGCTGATGCTTTGAGTGAGAGAGAGTGGAAAAGCTTTTTCCAGTGTGATAACACTCTTGAAGCTGTTCCAAGTTTAACTGGAGTGTTGAGGGCTGGAACTGGAGCTTCTCTGGGTATTTTTCGCTCCTCTACCTATATTCAGGTGGGGATGAAGCAATTCTGTGAAGTGACCTTCCAGTACTCTACAGGAGCCGAAACAGATGGTTGGGAGGTGGAGTACTTGGGCAGGACTGTGTGCTCCTAGGGAGCTGCCATCTTTCTGCCACGTGACAGCACTGTGTAGGGGTGAGTAAACATAGTGCATCCACCTGGGAGAAGTGAGGGACAAGGGAAGTTTGCATTATTGGGAAAAAGGGATATCTGAAATTGCCTGCAAGTATTTAACCTCTTTGCCAGCAAATATCCCAGCCCTTTTGTTCACATCTGGGAAGCAGAAGAGGGTGTCAGAAATGATGGAGCAGAAGCTGTCTTAGCAGCCTCTAGGATGCTGACTGGCCTGACACCTCCTTCTGATAGCCCGAGGATGCTAAAAGGGTGCTGGCCAGCCCTTTGTTCGAGTTCCATGTGTAGGAAAAAGGTGAGCTAACCTGGGACACACGCAGAGATGTTCCTGAGAAGTCACTTGAGTTGTTTGGGAGCTTCGTGGAATTGGTAGAGCTTAGCAGTGGCACAGGCAACACTTTTTCTGTACCCTTTGTTACAGCTAAACTCTGAGGGAGCAAAGCCAACCCTCTGCTGAGCAGGGGCTGCAGGATGGGGCTGTTGATGGGCAGTCTGAAAAGCCAGGAAGAAGCCAGCTACGGGACTGGAAGCTCCTGGACTGTTGAGAATTAAATTTGGCTGCTACTTGATAAAATGATTGTCCCAGGCACAGCTTCTCACTGCACTTCTGTCTGTGTAAATGTTAAAGATGAAGGTCTGTATGTGCATTTACACACAGCCTAACTCTGGGCCATCCACAAAGCTCAGCTCTGTGCTTTAGGTTCGAAAAGCCCGACTGCGGGCAGATGATCATGGGGAGGAGCACCCCATGAAAAGTCACTTGAGCAAAGACAGGAGTTGACATCAGGGGTGTGTCATGAGCCGGGAGGACTGAAACAGTGCGTCTGGTGCCAAACACACAGGCTGAGCTGTGGTGCCAGCCTTCCGTAGGAAAGCATCTATGGGGGCTGCGTGTTTTACTCACGGAGAAACCTCCAGTATTAGCCAGCAACTCAGCATTCAGCTGCGTGCAGTTGCCGTGGCAGCATGGAGCTTAACCATGGCTGTCATGCTTGATGCCAGCACAGGGCTTGAGGGCAAGGCAACAGCTCCTGCTCCCACCAGCCTGGACTTTCTCCAGCGTAGGCCAAGTGCCCACACTTATATCTGCACAGGAGCTCAGGGTAGGGGGTTTCCCGGAGAGCCCCAGCCTCAGAAGGTGACTAATGCCCCTCTCCCACCTTTGCTCCTCCAGAATGGGCTGAACGCCTTGCACCTGGCCTCCAAGGAGGGCCACGTGAAAATGGTGGTGGAGCTGCTGCATAAGGAGATTGTTTTGGAGACAACGACTAAGGTGAGGACAAAGGAGTCTGGTCGCATTAGTGACAACTCCACACTCTGCCATTGCTGCCAGGCACACCAGCAGTAGCTGAGCAGTGGGATCACGCTGTTCACTTTCAGCCCCTGGAGAGGCTGTGCTGGTGGCATTGCTGCTGGTCTGGGACCTGGGGACCAGGCTTTGATTTCAGCGCAGCTGAAGCCGTGCTGGGTACCTCCAGGTGGGTGGGATGTTCCTCTGCACCCATGCCTCTCCCCTGTGGGGGCCATGGGGGCCCCTGTGAGCTCAAAAGGGGACTAACAGAAGCCACAACATGTTTTAATGCTGTCTTTACTCACACATCCTCCCGGCACTGGCTGCCGGCTCAGGTCAGCCCTCGGTGCCCCAGGGCAGCCCCTGCATGCTGCAACACTGAGATGGCCTTGGTACCATTGTAGCAAGCCTGGAGAGCTCTGGTGCTCTGCAAATAACCCATCATTCTCTCCTGGCATCACCATGGCAGGGTGTGGTTCTTGCTCGGTGTCAAGCGCAAGCAGGCAGGGCGGACAAATGAGCAGCCTCCAGCACTGTCTGAAGGGCTGTGAGAGCAGGAGGAAGCCTGGCTTGCCACCTCCTCAGTGCTCTGGCAGGACTCGGGGCACGCAGCAGAGTCTGGCATTCTGCCACACCACCCAAAGGCACAAGTCAGAAGAGCCTATGTCTGCATTTTCCAGCCTGCTTATCATCCCTTAGCTCTGCTGGGATGCCTTGGCTACCAGGGCACACACTGCAGTTTTGCCCGAAGACTGCCAGCTCAGCTCCTCCATCCTCCCTCCCCTCCTCATCTCTCGATGCTGGAGATACACAGACCCTGACAATGCATACAGCTTTTGCTGCCAGTAACTTCATGGGAAAGATGAAATCACTCCTTTCCCTGGCCAGCAAATGTGAAGGGCAGCTGCTTGGTCTATAGCAAGGCTGGGACATGGAGTAAGGGCTACATGGACCCACAGCCTTCCCCTGGCTAGCTGCTCTGTTTGCACCTGTGTTAGCACATGTCAGGCCCATCTTTTCCAGTCATCCTGGGCTGCTTCAGCCCCTGAGCGTCGCCCTGTGGTGTTTTTCAGAAGGGAAACACAGCCCTGCACATTGCTGCCCTGGCTGGACAACAGGACGTGGTCCGGGAACTGGTGAACTACGGGGCCAATGTCAATGCGCAGTCACAGGTAAGGTGACCTGGGCTGGGGTGGGAAAAGCACCCAATGTGCATGATGGTGGTGTCCTCATGGTGGGAACTGTGCCCAGCATGGGCACTTGAGCAGCCCTTTACAGTTTCTCCCCAGTCCTGTACAGGGGCAAGGAGTATTCTGCCAGACTCCTGAAAGAAGATGAGCATGCAAGTGGTGGGGAGGGAGTCTTGAGAGATATGGGGAGACCAGCACGATTGAGGGAGTCCATGGCAGCACACACAAGCAAGCCGAACTCGTCCTGGGAGGACTCATGGCCAATGCCTCCCTGGCACAGCCATGAGGTCTCCAGCAACCCCTGCAACTCTGCACACTGTGCCTCCTTTGTTCTCTCCTTCTTGGGCCTGGGGGGCCTGCAAGCTATTCAGCTTTTGCCTGATGGGAGAAACGTCCCTGAAGCAAGGGAGAGTAGTGGCAGTGAGTGGAAGCCAGTGTCTGCTGGGCTGACTGTAGCTGTGAAGCATCCCCTGGTTCTTTCTGGATGCGGGGAGCCTTGGGCTCCAACTCTCTGTCATTGCTCCACTGTTGCCAGTTTTTTCCTTTTTCCCACCTAGACTGTGTATGCTTTTGCCCCAATTCAACGAGCTGGGGGTGTGGGTGTTGATGGATTGTAGGTCTGTAAGGTGCTTGAGAAACTTGAGGAAGAGTTGTGTTCATGTGCATGGCCCTGTGTTTGCAGAAAGGCTTCACACCCCTCTACATGGCAGCGCAGGAAAACCATCTGGAAGTTGTCAAGTTCTTGCTGGAAAATGGAGCCAACCAGAATGTAGCCACAGAGGTGAGATCCTTGAGGAGGACCTTAGGGCCTTGCTTGTTGGGGTTCCTGTTGGATGTGCTAGGTGCTACCATGGCTCCTCAGCTCTCCCCCTCTCACCTGCCTCTCCTTGGCAGGACGGCTTCACGCCACTAGCTGTGGCTCTGCAGCAAGGGCATGAGAACGTGGTTGCCCACCTTATCAACTATGGGACAAAGGGTAAGGTCCGCCTGCCCGCCCTGCACATTGCAGCCCGCAACGATGACACTCGCACAGCTGCTGTGCTGCTGCAGAATGACCCCAATGCTGATGTCCTCTCCAAGGTGTGTGGCTTTCCCATCCTGTTTCTGGGAGCTTTCCCACATCCCCAAGGAGAACAGCAGCTTGGTATGCTGTATTTATCCATCCTTTCAGCAGGGAGCATGTGTCTGGCTGGGCTGATCCCTCCTTCTTTCCCCTAGACTGGATTTACCCCCTTGCACATTGCAGCCCACTACGAGAACCTCAGCGTGGCCCAACTACTGCTGACCCGTGGAGCCAGTGTCAACTTCACACCCCAGGTGAGTGCAGAGTGGGAAAGCTGCTGGGACTGGTACTGCTCCAGCACCAGAGAAGGATGCTGTACCTCCTTTCCATGTAGGTGCAGCAGTAGCTGCCAGGGTACACTGGTGAGGCAGGACCATGCAGAAGCCAGCACACGGATGCATGTCTAGGCGAGGTGCCATTAACAACCATCGTGGCCTTTTCTACTATATCTCCCCTCTCTCAGATGCAGCTATGCATCCCTGGAACCTCTTTGGGATCTTGAGTCCAGGGTGAGGGAAAGCTAGTGCTGTCACTGCAGGGCAGAGCTTATAGACCCTGCAGTTGGCGTGCCTCTTCCAGTCCCATGGGTGCAGCCAAATCATGAGCTGGCGCTTTCCTGCAAGCTCTGCGCAGGTTCTGTCCACAGCCTTTAGCTGCAGGCAGGAGCAGGTGCTCACCCTCTCTCCCAGCCCTGTGGAACAAGCTGTTCCCCTGCACCATCCCTGGGCAGAGATTTAGCTCTCCCCTGTCCTTTGTTCGTCCCATGCCTCCTTGCAGCCCCTCAGGGGAAAGAGAAGAGCTTGCTCCCTCTAATAGACTGCCGTTCCTTCTACCAGAATGGGATCACTCCCCTGCACATAGCCTCCCGCCGGGGCAACATCATCATGGTACGGCTGCTGCTGGACCGCGGAGCCCAGATAGAGACAAGGACCAAGGTGAGACTGCTTCTGAATCACAGAATCACAGAATTGATTTGGTTGGAAGAGACCTCTGGGATCATCCAGTCCACCCTTTGCCCTAACACCACCATGTCAACCAGACCATGGCACTAAGTGCCACCTCCAGTCTTTTCTTAAACACCTCCAGAGATGGGGACTCCACCACCTCCCTGGGCAGCCCATCCCAATGCCTAACCACCCTTTCTGTCAAGAAATCCCTCCTCATTTCTAGCCTGAACTTTCCCTGGCGCAGTTTCAGACGATGCCCCCTTGTCCTGTCACGAGTTGCCTGGGAGAAGAGACCGACCCCCACCTGGCTACCCCCTCCTTTCAGGTCATTGTAGAGAGCGACCAGGTCTCCCCTCAGCCTCCTCTTCTCCAGGCTGAACACCCCCAGCTCCCTCAGCCGCTCCCCATCAGACTTGTGCTCCAGACCCTTCACCACCTTCGTTGCCCTTCTCTGGACTCACTCCAGCACCTCAATGTCCTTCTTGTAGTGAGGGGCCCAGAACTGGAGACAGGATCTGAGGTGCCGCCTCACCAGTGCCAAGTAGATGGGAATCACCAGCAAGTACACGGGCCATCTCCCTCCCCAAGCTCCTTGCATCCAGGGAGCATTGCCATGCTGCACTGCCCAGTGCGCACCCTGTGAACATCTTGCTGGGTGTGTGAGGGAAGGTCCCTAGTGCACTAAGGGGATGGACCAGGTTTTTTGCTGGTGCATGTAGAGGTGAGAGGGGGCTGTCTGGCTACAGTGGGTGTGCCCTGGGGGCTGAGGGCAGGCTCAGTTTTGCCTTATTTTGCAAACAAGTCCAAAGTCCCTGTTACTCTCCTGCCTGATGTGAGCCCTGCCCTTCCTTTCCCATGCTGAGCCCTTGAACCCTTCTCTCCCCCCAGGATGAGCTGACCCCTCTCCACTGTGCAGCTCGCAATGGACATGTGCGAATTGCAGAGATCCTGCTGGACCACGGGGCTCCCATTCAAGCCAAAACCAAGGTACTCATGGGTCTCTGTGGGGTTGTGCTTGGTGGCAGGTCCTGGGGCAGCACAGGAGGTTAACAAGCTGTGCACGGTTGCTGGATGCCACCCATGGCTGGGCTGATGCTGAGTTTTTGACCTGACAAGGGGTAAGGCTTCCTGAGCTCCTCCTTGGCCCTAACTGGAGCCCTTGGCCTGAAGGTTGCATGCTTCAAAAGGACCAGCTCTGAGCAGGGGATGGCCTGGGGACAGCCTGCCCCATGGCAGCTGCTCTTCAGACCCTGCTCAGCATTGCTCCCTTGTAAGTCTCCGTGAGGGATTTCGGGGCTCCTCTCTGGTAGCATCCTAGGGAACATGCTGTCTCTTCTATCCCAGAGCTGTGGTCAGCAGAGCAAGGCTGGGGCTGGGTGGGATGCCTGGTCCCCCTCCTGGCCCAGCCCTGAGGCCCCGCTCTGTGGTTGCAGAACGGCTTGTCGCCGATCCACATGGCAGCGCAGGGTGACCACTTGGACTGCGTGCGCCTGCTCCTGCAATACAGCGCCGAGATTGACGACATCACCCTGGACCACCTAACGCCGCTGCACGTTGCTGCGCATTGCGGGCACCATCGCGTAGCCAAGCTGCTGGTAGAGAAGGGGGCCAAGCCCAACTCCCGAGCCCTGGTGAGTGAAGAGGGGCAGGCAGGGCTGGGGCGGGGGAGAAGGAGAGCGTTCTCACAAATGACTGCCCATCTGTCCGTCTGCAGAATGGCTTTACACCCCTCCATATTGCCTGCAAGAAGAACCACATCCGAGTGATGGAGCTGCTGCTGAAGACGGGTGCCTCCATCGATGCTGTGACAGAGGTAGGTGGGCTGCAGCCCAGACACAGCTCTCATGCTGCTCGCCGTG